ACTTACGTACAAATTCGACTTAAGGACAGACCTTGGGAACGGAACTCGTTCTTAAATTGGAGATTACCTGTACTCACTTTCAGAGATTTTATGTTAAAAACAGAGTTATTATGGAAGATTTCTCCTGCCTACCTAGGAACTTGCAAGGAAACAGGGAGACTCACTGATGTGACCCAGACTGCACAGGTTCAGTTAGCAGATAAAAGGGATGTATTCCAAGTGCAGATTTCAGACTTAGGGGCTTGGAAATTCAAAGTCCAGTTCACCCTCGTTTCAATCGTTATCTTGCACAAGAGTTGCCTTGCACAGCAACTCTACCATTTCTTCGGTCCTACCATCTGTAAAATGGGCGTTCTGACCATCACCCCTTAAAGGATTTTAGCCCAAGTACAAAGCACGCACCGATTTCAAAAAAGCGTTTTGTATGGAAACTGCTATAAAAATGAAGGAGAAAAAGCGTACATCCCAGGCTGAGACGGTCAGAGGGGAGAAAAGCAAATTCAGAGCTAGTGGGGGTCACCATACCTGTTAGGTAATTGCCATATTCTGCAGGAGGCGGCATTGGAATAGGTCAAGCTAGTGCCTGGCTAGTTTTAAGATTGCCTATATATTAAATTCTTGGTGGATGCAATAAACCGAATAGTCAATTGCCTCTAACACAACCCACGGTTAGGAACAAAAGCTCTTCAATACGGCTCCATCTTCTGGTGAGTCAGAAGTGCAGTGTTCCTAATAGGATGTAATCACTCGATGCCTCTCCTCGTTCTCTTCCATTCACAACATTCATGCAAAATGTCAAAACTCCAATTCAGATCTTCAGCAGCATCGCTTTGCTGCAGCTGTGCGCCTTTATGAATGAAGCAAAATTCTGCACTAAGGAAAGGCTGTTTTCTGTGGCAGGAATAAACCAGGCAAAAAATATATATGTATATATATATAAATAAATAGTATTGTTTCCTGCTCCTTATGGGGGATGGGAGGAAGGCTGATATACATGATATTGGAAATCTCATTCCCTGTTAGAAACGTCTGTTCAGCCCAGCTCTCTACTTTTTTCAGTATTTGGGATTTCATACATATTGTCCACACCTTTTCAAACTGATTTTTGCAGCCTTAAAACTAGGAATGCCATTTATTTATTTAAATGGGGGAACAAAGGATGAGATGAAGGCAAAGAAATGCAGATTTCTGCACCTGGGACCAAATTCCACCTGCTTAAAAGATGCTTTGGGTCACCACATCTGGGCAGATGCCCAGGGTGTGTCTAAACACGCTCAATCTGGACAGTTTAAAACAAGCAGCTGAATTCCTACAAATGCTAAACTTGGTTTATTTTAATCTAAGGTAGATATGGGGGGTTAGTTGCCACATGAACTTAGTCCATTTGATTTGTGCATGATTCAGGATATCATGCCAACCCAGAAAATAGGTTAATTTATGTTTAACCAAGTTTGGCATGTTGGGTGAACTCAGCTGTTTTAAAAGAGCTCCCTGACCCATTTGTTCCCATTCATGCCGACAATTAGTTGCTTGTGCAGCCCCTCCTCCAGTTATCCTCACCTTTCAGCTGCCGCCAAATTACCGTCGGTTCTGGTTTCCCCACCGCCAGGCAGAGCAAATTCACATTGCTTCCTTCGTTCACCGTCACAGCTGAGGAAATGTTCACGATCCGAGCTGGAACTGTGGAGTTTAAAAGAGAGAGGTGGTGTAATGATATGTGGGAATGACCTTGGGAGACAGGAGGAATTGCTGCAGATTGGACAACCATCATGAAAAAGACGTCTCAACCCACAGAAGGAGGGAGGGCGTGGGATGCATTTCAGAGGGGGCCTCCCTTAGTTTTCTGGAGAGTAAAAGGAGAGGAGGGGAGAAATACGTTCAGTCTTGCAAGACTGTTACTGTAACCTTGCAGTAAAGATAGAGCTAGTACTCCTGGTTGTGCTTCTTGTCTGGACTACCTTGCAGGGCTAACCCCTGCCACCCACCCCTCTTCATGCACCGTATTCAGCTCAGCCCCTCCATGGCAGGCTAAATGCATTCCTCCCTTCCTGTGATGGAATGGAATTATGAAGGCCAGGCTCAGGGAGATAAGCGTTTTCTTAGTTCACCGCAGGAGCGTGGGAACTTCAAGAGGATGAGGCTGGCACCTCCCTGAGGAATTCATGGTGTTGTGGCTGGCTGGCTTGGGGGGTGGGGTTTAGTTTGGGGGGATTTTTGCTTGAGGTTGTTGCTTATAAAAACAACTGAAATGATTTTTCATTGTCTCTTGG